GTCGTTCCTATGTCAGCATTGTTTGATGAGAATACATCGGCGTACTTGAGTAACAACTTCTTCGCCTTGACCAATTCGTTCGGGGAGAGAACACTGCGGCAGTCTTCCAAAAGTGTGGTCACTCTCGTTTCTGCATCCTTGCTGGGGGTCCCACTCGATATATATTGGCACCGACGTAACCAATCCACTTCCTCACAAGTACCAATCAGTGTGCCTTTTTCTATAATCTGTTCCCGGTCGCAAAGGTTCAGCACACGTACTCCTGAGATGGCAGTGGTCCTGACCAAAGTTCGAGCTACTTTCCATGGAATGTCATTGTTTACCCTTTCCACAAGTATACAACGGTGAGCTTGCCCAGCGTTTCGAGGAAGATTAACCGGAACAATCGTTTCCGTTCTCGGCGGAAGAACAATCTTCTTAATGCTGTACACGTTCCCTGGTAACGCACCTTCCATAAAAAGTTCCTCCTGTCCACATTTCAAAACACCTTGCTTAACGTCGATCTCACAACAATTATTCCTCATAAAGTCTAGGCCTAGGATGCAGTCGTCCATTATATCAGCCACGATGACATTATGCAGGTAGATCACGTTACCTAGCTTCAACTCCATTTCCTTCTCTCCACGGACGGGTATACGCTGACCGGTGGCTGTTACCAAATTAATGCGTTCTCGGTTGTATGCGGAGTCCCCAAGGAACTGACTTATAAGTTGGGAACTAACAACCGTACGAGAGGCTCCAGTGTCTATGGTCAATTTACACGGCATTCCGTTGACCTCGCCCTTGATGATTAGACTGTTCCCATCATGGGTTTGTGAGATCGAGATCCTTGGGGCTTTTTTAACATCAGCCAGCACCCGCCCCGCAGTTCTGGCTTTTACTCGTTTCCCTGCTGCTGCTGGGCGGTGCTGTTGGCCGCACTACCCTCCTGGGATCGTTCACCTTGGGCTGTATTGATATATTTGTGAATGAAATGAAACAACCGCTGTCTTGTAACACTCGTTTATTACTGGTTGGATGACCGTACTTCACACGTATACGTCATTCCTCCCCACTTAATTTTGGAACCTGGTAACAAGGTTTCTTAATTAAATACAGTAAAAATTTTTTTTTCTACATAAACTTAACAACTAATAATAACTGTTAACAATAATTAGCAAACTTGATCTCTGCGTAACTATAATTAACAATCGCTACTTAAAAATACTTTTTATAATCCACCCTTGGTCTTGTACGTTTCGGGCGTGTGGCTAAAAGTGGCAATGTTGGCGGTACATGGGAATCGCCAATTGTGGACGGCACAGCCTCCGTTTCTGCCATAGGCCTTTCTACGGGGGCAATGTTGTCCTTTTCATACTCCCTAGTCTCACAGTCACTTACTTCTTCTGCCTCACCGTGGTCAGATGAACCAAGATTCGGCGCTCCAGTATTCGAGGGAGATTGCAGCTCACCCGTCTGCATATTCGTAGCCTGTTCCATACTTTGCTCCGTATTACTTATACCCGGAAACATAGGCTGTTGCGCGGGAGGGTGTGCATTTACAGTAGCCGGCGACGTGGAGGGGCAACGAGTCTCCTCAGCAGCGACAATATCGTCGCGACTACTGTCTGAACCCGTATATCTAATAATTTGATCCACATGTCTAATACACCAAACCTCCATGTCCCTAATATGAATTCTATACATTTTATTTCCTATTTTTTTCTTTATTCTACCTAACTGCCAAGATTCTTTTCGTGCACTGTACCAACGGGTCCGAACGATATCGCCGATTTCAAAAGATCTTTTCCCGGCCGCCGTAAGTGAATTAGAATTATGATTTTTTAAGGGTAAAATCAAATCGAGACGCAACGACCGCAAATTTCTGCCGAACATTAACTTTGCCGGCGTTTCACGCGTGGTACAATGCACGGTATTTCTATAGTTAAATAGGTACCCTAATAACATGTCGTGAACTTTGTGTAAAGGTAAATTGTCAATTAATATACATTTTAACATTTTTTTACATGTTCTTACTGAATTCTCAGCTTGACCGTTACTTGGCGGATGGTAAATGGGTGACGTCATGTATTTTATGCCATCCGATGAACAAAATGTCTGAAACTCGAGTGAATTAATTTTTACGTCGTTGTCGGACACTAAAACATTTGGTATTCCAAAATTAGAAAAAACGCCTTTTAATTTTGTTATTAAAGCATTAGATGAGGTTCCGTCATGCATGTATAGACATTCTATCCATTTACTGTAGGAGTCGACGATCACCAGATATACCCTCTGCCCTACAGTCATGTAATCAATGTGCACTCGTTGCCATGGCGCGTTGGAGGGAGGCCAGGGCGCGTGGGGGTCTCGCGGCGGGGCGGCCCGCACGCTTGCGCACTTCGCACATGATCCGATCCAGCGCTCGATGTCCCGGTCAATACCGGGCCACCACATTCTACTTCTAGCGTTACATTTAGTTTTGGTTATTCCTAAATGAGAATCATGAAGCTCGCGCAACATTCTATCTCTCAACCCGAGTGGTATAACAATCCTATGTCCCCTAAAAAGACAACCATTCTCATATTGTAAATCGGACTTGCAATGAAAATAAGGTAAAATAGATTTACATTTTAATTTACGCGGCCACCCGTGTTGCATGTACCTAAGCACGGTTTTCATCGTCCTATCTTGCTCCGTCGTCTGCGCAACGTCGCGGGCCAAAGTGGCCGGCGATGACGCATCGAGAAACCTAACTGCATAATGAGTGTCTATATCGTTTGTATCTATATCGTTCGACGACTCGTTGACGCATTTTACCGGAGCGCGTGAGAAGTAATCGGCCACAATATTATTTCCGCTAGATACATATTGTACGACATAGTTATAAGCGGACAATATAACTGAGTATCGCTGCAGTATTAGCGCAGTAGTAACAGGAATACCTGTTTTAGGATTAAAAATTGATACCAATGGTCTGTGATCGGTTTTCAGGATAAAAGGATCTTCGCGACCGTACAAATATTGATGAAAGCGTCGGACCCCGAAGATAATGGCCGTCGCTTCCTTCTGTATCTCGCTATAGTTTCTTTTACTGCTCGTAAGTGAGCGAGATGCATACGCTAGCGGGAGTTCGATGCCGTCCTCCGCCCTTTGTGAGAGTACGGCGCCGAGACCGGTCGGGCCGGCGTCCACCTCCAGCACTAGCTGCGCCGCTGGCTCGAAATGAGCCAACACGCGTTCTGACGCCAGTTCGCACCGTATCGCTGCAACGCTTTGTCGCTGCCGTTTTCCCCATTCCCATTTTGCATCTTTACGTAATAGCTCATGTAGAGGACTCAGTACAGAAGAGGCGTTTGGAATAAAATTTCTATAGTAGTTGACTACTCCTAGAGATCTTTTAACTTCGGTGACGTTATTTGGTTCCGGTGCACTAAGAATGGCTTGTACTTTATCCGGACAAGTCCTTAATCCCGTTTTACTAATCACGTAACCCAAATACCTGACGCTTTCTCTGAAAAATTGACATTTGTCTTTTTGTAAACGTAGGCATGCCTTACATAGTCTATCTAGGACTTTACTTAGCCGCTGCATGTGGGAATTTCTATCGAGGCCCGTGACACAAATGTCATCAAGCCATATGCTTACCCCGTCTATTCCTGATAAGAGTGTCTCCATGCTCCTTTGGAAAATGGCTGGACCACTAGAAAGGCCGTACACTAACCTAGTGTATTTAAAAAGTCCTTTATGCGTATTAATTGCCGTGAGCTCCTGAGACGCGTCATCTAGGACGAACTGGTTGTAAGCGTTTATTAAATCAATTTTACTATAGTGCTCACCCCCTCCAATTTTGGCAAAAACCTCTTCAATTCGAGGCAGGGGATATTTTTCTATTATGAGATCCTTATTTAATGTAATAGAAAAATCACCTGCGATTTTAACTTGGCCATTATCTTTGGAGCCGTGGTAGCTCAGTGAGCCGTGGTAGCTCAGTGGTTAACGCTCGCTGTAAATATAACAGAACGCGAGTAACCCGGGTTCGATCCCCGCCGGCACCAATGAAATTGTTAATTGCAATTTTAAGTGCTGATTTACCACGTGCTCGGCGGTGAAGGAAAACATCGTGAGGAAACCTGCATGTCTGAGGAATAAGAAAAAAAATATTTCGAAGACATGTGAAGTTCGTCAACACGCATTTGGGCAGCGCGGCGGACACTTCCTTGCCCTAAACCCTCTCAGAAATGAGGGAGGCCTGAGCCCAGCAGTGGGACGTATATAGGCTGTAACTTTACTTTACTTTACTTTACATTATCTTTTAAAACTGGCACAATGGGGGTGGCGTATTGAGAATAATTAATAGGAACCAGGATACCCAAGTGCACTAATCGGTTTAGCTCTTGTTCGACTTTATCTCTGAGGGCACAGTACGCGGCTTAAAAAACTTAGGCACAGCATTCGCCTTCAACTGCAAACTGACTTTAAAGTTATTAAATGCGCCCAACTTGTCACGCCACAACGCCGAATATTTATTTAATAACTCATGCAATTCGGAATCATTTCTTATGTAATTTAATTTAGTAGTAATCACAAAATTAAAGGCGCTCATGAAATCCCTACCTAGTATAGGCGGTCCCCCATTTTTGACAACAAAATATTTAATCCATTTTGTACTGTTATTGTAACTAGTTTCTACAGTAATATAACCTAATGGATCAATCTTGTGTCCGTTATATAAGCACATTTTTACAGAACTACTACGTAATGAATATTTTAAGAATTTTTCCTTATATGTATTATAAGAAATCACACTTTTACTTGATCCTGAATCAAGCTCCATTGACATACACTGATTACCTATTATTACATCAATTGAAATGGGCTTATCAGTCACATACCTCAAATTAAAATTGTGGCACTCCTCACAAGACGTGTCCTTGACCTGCTCTGGTTCGCTTACCGACTCGATATGGTACATCCGCGATCTATTGACACTATCGCACACTTTCTTTAAATGACCTTTTTCACCGCACTTTTGACAATTGTAACTTAGGATCACTTTGGTGGTTCTTCAAGCCACAGACCGAACAACGAGAAAAATCTCTCGGTTGGTCGCGACCTGATGATGTCCTGCCAGCATTAGGACGCCGTATAACCGCGCCGCTGTCTCCTTGACCTTGAAATTTCGCTCGGTATACCGGTTCCTCCTTAATTGGAGCATGTTCGCTGGTGCACATCATAACCTTCGCCTGCCTGGCATACGCCGCCTGCTCTGCTAGCTCCATAGCTACTGACAGTGTCAATGTTTCGGGACTGGGTCTTGTTCGAACAACTTATCTTGTTCCGGGCCAGGGCCCAGGCCGAGGACGAAACGATCTCTTAAATTCGTTTCCAAGGCAGTGCCGAAGTGACAATTGCTTGCGAGACCTCTCAATCGCGCTGCCCAGTCTCCCAATGATTCGCCTGGATTTCTGGTTGCCCCAAAAAAATTTTTCTTTATCCACAAATGAGAATTTTTTGGGCTTGAAATGACCGTCGAGTAATTTAACAAGATTCGAGTAACTTAGAGATTCTAAGTCTTGCGGGTACGCTAAGTTTCGTACCAAGCGATACGTTTCATCCGTAAGATGGGTGAGAAGAATTCCACTTTTGTTCACTTCTTCGACGCGATTTATCTTCGCAAACTGAGTTAGTCTGCTTTTTGAAAATTGACCATTCACTTGACTTATGGTCAAAAATAGGCAGATTTCCCAGATAAGCCATTATTGTGGGTACTCCTTCTTCGTCGCCAATGATATATTTGTGAATGTAATGAAACAACCGCTGTCTTGTAACACTCGTTTATTACTGGTTGGATGACCGTACTACACACGTATACCTTTGTTGCGGTCGCGAACTGTAGCTGCTGCAACCTCCCTGACGCGATGGGAACGATGATCCTGCCGTACGGCTTCCACTTCCAGTGCATGGGCCAAGGCGTCCTTAAGCGTCTCGTGGTGCCCGAGCCTCACAGCAGCTCTGACTTCCAGGTCGCGGATGCCGTCGATGAATGTCTGCACCAGGTTCCCTTCAATGAGCGCAGGTACAGACCGGTATGCTTTTCGCATCAGCTTCTCCACTTCTAGAGCACACTGCTGCAGGTTTTCGTTGATACGCTGCACACGATCTTTAAGCTGCGCACGAAAGACGTGTTCCAGGTGAGCGTCGCCATATCTCGCCTCCAATGCCTCAAGGAGTTGCTCATAAGTCACTTCCTCGCCGAGAGCTTCCAGAACTGTTAAGGCCTGGTCACGCAGGCCCAGTGTGAGAGCAGTCATGGCCTGATTTTTATTCCATCCGTTCGTCTTCATAACAGCTTCGAACTGAATTTTGTAGGCTGACCAGGAAGAAGTCCCGTCGAATGGTGGCACCTTGAACCCACGTAGCGAAGGTGTAGTAGCTACTACGGGAGCTGTAGTTCCCTCCCCAAGTTTGAGTTCGTCCAGCGTTTTCTTCACGTCAGCCATTACGTTGTCAACCCGATTGTTTACTTGGTCGATTCGGGTTTCAGCTTCCGACAGGCGGTTGTCATGTTGAGCAATCTTATCCTTCACCTCCCGTATCTCTTTTCCGAAGGTAGCGTGAAGGTCTTTCATAGGGAGCATCTGCTCTTCCTTATCGCGTTGGAGTTGCTCTTCTAAACGACGGGCCTGTTCCTCCTGTCGGCGGGCCTGTTCCTCCTGCCGGCGGGCCTGTTCCTCCTGTCCGCCCCTCAGCTGCTCCTCCAATCGGCGGGCCTGTTCCTCCTGTCCGCGCTGCAGCTGCTGCAGCATCATCATCAGAGAACCTAAGTCAGGTGCCACAGACGTAGTAGCTGCTGACGGGCCGACTTCCGTGGCCGGCGGCTGGCCCTCAGACATCTGCAGCGTTACACCACCAAATCTCCTCTGGTCCGTCTCCTGCTGGCGTTGACTTTGGGTGCGGACACCCTCCATCTCGTCCTTAGGTAAAATCGGCATGATTTTATCCCACTTCTGACACCAATTGTTACGAGCTTGAGGTTCGTGACAATAAAAATTGCCGATAAAATTACCTAAATTAACACTTTAATTTCACTTTACACGAATTAAAACTTAAAACACTAATAATTAAACACACTAATTCATTTTATTCCGCTCCGAAGCTTCGCTTGTCTCGCCAAATCCAATACTGCCCCGATCGCATCTTGCAGCGCCTATATATACAAATTAGCAATGAAGCATCCGGAATATTCAAGTAAATGCGCGCAAAGCGACGTGTGTTCGAGTGTAGATTTTCTAGAAACTTAGTTCTTCGGATGGCGGTGTCGGTTGAAAGATTTGTGATGCCATTTTCTGCAAAGCTCCCCTCGCTCTCGTTCCTGACACTAGATGGCGCTAGTGTATGACGTTGACTTATTCACGCAACAATATTTTATAGCAGTTAGAGACTTTCTCCTTTGCGGCATGGATCAGTGAGTGGTCCTCCTTGTGCGGTGATGGGAGAGATGGCTAACAGAAGTTTCCTTGGACAGCCTTGGCGAGAGACCAGCATGTAAAAGATGCAGGAAGGCCTTCTCGAAGGAAGTCAAACTAGTTTATCGCCAATCCTGCCCATGTGCTCAGACTTTGCCCTGGCAATAGAACTTTTGAAGTATCTGGATGCGGAATTATGCTTCTTTTTGAGAGCGCTATTGTTCGCATTATGAGATGCGTAAGACCAGACCCAGTAACACTCCTGCCTACAAAGTGAATAAATTCTATAGAAGTGACCAAATCACGGTTGAGTTCTGCCTCCAATCTGTATCATAGATGATGTAATAAAAAAATCTATTCCCCAAAGCTTTACATCAGCGACATAATCAGTAACACCGTTGGGATCATCCGGCAAGTAGCTAACCCTGGTGGGATGCAAAAAATCGCATCCTTTTCTAATCGGCTGATATATTGTGCTAAACATGGCAGCAACCTGCAGAACGTAACCACGATGTAATCGTGAGTGGCACCGTATTCTGAATTAGACAATGGTTCAAAAAGACAAGAGGAGCATCGACGGAGACTTGATATCCATTTCGATGAGAGGTCAGCAGAAGGGCAAAAAAGAAAGGTGCACGATCCTCTATATCTGAGAACTGCGTAGGTTAAGTTACCAGTTGTGTCAGATCATATGCCAAGGCAAAATTATTAACAGATCTACTCGCATGATCGGTTAAATAGGAACGAAGCCATTCAAAAAACGAAGCTATTCAGAGTGGTCGACGTTAGTCACCGAGGATAACGATCTCTGCGGACGGGACCCGTTGCAGCACGGAGTCTGCAGCCATATGGATGTGGTCGATGAGTCTGTTTGTGTCAGTATTATCACTTTGAGACCTTTAAAGGCACCCGTAGAGGTGGGGATGATCGTCGCTGTCTACATGCAGCCATAGGATGGGCAGGTCAAGGCTAATTGAAGGTAAATAGAGATACGAAATATCAGCCAGAGAGGAAATTTGTAACTCAGTTAGAAAGAACATGGCCAGCTTCACCGTTTCCGAATTGTAGTGGACGGCGTTAAAGTTGAAATGAAGTCCCCCTGATGTTGCAGAAATTCATGGATAGGCTGGCAGGAGTCGCCTTTGTTTTATTGCTCCGTTTGCCCCGAACAGTGTTAGTCGCGAGGGGATTTTCATCCCACTCCCCCTTCCAGAATATGAGGGTCAGCCTGAGCACCCAAGCTCAGTATGAGGAAGGTAGTTTAGAGGTGGAGGCGTAGCGAGGGAAAATAACTCCTAAAGTAGTGGGTTCAACTCCGCTATCATGTTTAAAAGGGGAGAGGTAGTTGGGCCTCCAGCCACCTGCATTCACCAAGCGAAACGCAGTAGTAAACTTCTACTTAATGTTGGTATTCCGTGAAATCGTGGTACCACCCCGGTTCGAGCCGGCTCACCCGTGGTACAACAAAATATGCCACGTGGCCTTACCACTGTTAAAATATATACATACGTATGTAGAGAATACATCAAAACCTTAGATTAAACTTATTTTCTACAAAATAACAACATACTACTGTAATAAACTGTGTAGTATTCGTATCGCATGAGTAAATAGATAATAGAATACATTAACCCACATAGATTTTTTAACCAGCGTAATGGAATTGTCAAATTTACGTTCAACAACAACTTCGTACGTAATTCGTAATTTAATTATTAACATTTATAAAGTCACGTACTTTTGCGAAGCCGTCGGCAACAGATTGTTGAGAAATTATAAACAATGACTATTAATTTTAAGATTATAATAAATTTCAAAATAATATAAACCTTCCTAAAAAGCAGTTTTTTACCTATATACTTTTCCTAGGTGGTGGGACTAATTTTCTCATATACTTTGACTAGGTCGATAGGACAGGATAGGACATCTTTTTTTCCTAGGAATCAGTTTGGTTAGCTCTTACCTATTTCTGCCGATATATACATGTGCCTGTACTTGTGTGTTCCAGTCTGAAGGGCTTAGAGAGCCGGTGCAATAACAGGCTGTGAGGAATTTTACTTAGTCCTTAAAGGTGACAGCCATTTATGGTTGGAGCACGAATTGGTCGGTTCGAATGGGGAAAGATCACTCTTGCATAGGATACTAGCGTAAAATAGGAGCTCAATGCTACTGTGTTTCATATGTTGAGTATAGATAACCGGAAGATGTCCTTTAAACTGGAAACGCGACATCTTAGTTCTCAATGGCAAAACACATTTGCATTTTGGTTCTTAATTGGGGATAAATGTAAACGTCCATGGGTCATTCTCGTAGCATCCACTTACCATCAAGTGTACTGTATGCTCGTTTGACATCCTTATTCTACAAAAATCGACTATAAAGCGCCTGTTGTAATAAAGAAATTATTAGTACTAGTTGTCCCCTATTGGCCAAAATTAGTTAAATTTTATGTTTGTATATTACACAAGCTGTGCTTCACTTTCAATGGTACATTACTATGTAAAACACGAAAATCTTATGTACAAAATATAAAGAAAACGTTTATTTCCTTTGATACACACACTATACACTATTGAAAAGGATTAAAATTTGAAATCATACAAAATGCAAATCTTACTCTACTACTATACTTCGTCATACTACACTACAAGAATTACGCTAATATTAAACTATTCATGCAAATGTTGAAATACAGTGAATGTTGAACATTGTATTTTGCTACATAAAAATATTTAAAAAAGGGAAAAGGTAATATCCCAGCTTTCTTAGAATTCTCAGATTATACACATTGCAGTTTTGTAGAGTCTTTTGTT